CCCCAAAACCCCAAAACCCCAAAACCCCAAAACCCCTTTGCAAGAAGATATATACATTTTATAAAATTATTCTTAGCATGGACTCCCAGAGATCTGAGAATCATAAGCATACCATGAGTGATTACCCTGAATATGACCAGTATCCGTATGAAGAGGTAGACCATAGATTTTCACTGCACTCTGGCACTGATATACGTAAACCTTCATTAGGTTTATCAATTTAGGGCTGACAAATAATCAAATGAACCCTGAAAGTATGGAAAACGTAAACCACGAGATAACCCAAGAAGATCATGGATTTTACCATGGAAGGCCAACAGATGCAGCACCAAGCCGAGTCCCTGGGCTCAAATTGGGCAATAACTTCGTACAGAATTACAATGAGAGGGAAGAACAGATATTTCAAAATTTGCCTGAAACAAACCAGAACAATTCCTCAGCCCCAGGTAAGATTCTTCACACTGAAATTCTCCTACAAGGGGCTTAAACATCAGTTTAGCAATTAGAGGAAGCTCTATCTTGTCTTGATTTTAACCTCGCCTCGTCTTTGCCAAGGATTTGGTTTTACAGTGATATCATTTAGGTAGTAAATCATTAAGAGACAGAATGGATGCACTTGACGAGATGCACCCAATCGGCACAGAAGTAGATGAAGGCTCTGAAAATGTAGAAGCAGACGAAAGAGAAGGCAACGGCGACTATATCCAAAGACAAATCTCTTCAGATAAGGAAGGATTTAGTGATATCAATGAAGACTCAGCACAAGCTAATTATTACAACCAGATTGAGGTTGAGAGAAGAATGGATCGGATGAACCTTAATCCTCCAATGAATGGTAAGGATATTCAATTCATCTTTACAACCTAGACGGATCTTAATTCTTCAGTTCTTACTAAAAAAGCAGGACTAATGATGATATAGGAATAGCTCATCGACCCCAGAACTTATCCAACAGCAATATGAATCCAATGCAGACTCCGTCTAGAAGAGGAGATGACAGTTTCCAGAATATGGATGATTACCAGAGTCAGGCACCAGGCCAGTACATGAACGAATCAAATGATCCCCAGACAGACCATCTTATTATGCAGTATGAGTCAGTTTTGCAGAGCGTCAACAGAGAATTCCAGAAACTTTTAGAGAAGAATAGACAAACCGAGGAAGATTTCTCAGTCATGAGGAGCGAATTGGAGAAAACACAGATCGCTCTCGAACAAGAGCAAGGTAAGCTCCCTAATAACCCATTTAGCTAACCTCGCAACTAAGATGAATGACGAGAAGCGCCTCCAAATGATACAGCTTGAGAAGAACGAGGTTGAAAATGAGAATAAAAATTTAAGGATGCATTTAGGCCAAAGAGATGATGAAATCGAAAGGCTCCAGAACAGAATTATCCAGTTAGAGCACGAGGCGAGCCAAATCCCTTCGTTGCGGGCTCAGCTGGATGAGCTTCAGAACCGGAACCATCAGAAGGAGTCTACCACGAGAGAAAAAGAAGAGAGCATACTTAAAACAGAAAGCGAGCTTAGAAATATGGAAAGGGTCGAAGGCATCCTTAAAGCTGAAATTGAAGAACTTCTTGAAAAGAGGAAAGGGCTCGAGGAAATTAACCAAGCTCTTAAAAACCAAGTGTGTGAGTGAAATATCACGCTCAGACAAATGGCTTCCCAGCTGGACTCAACGAAGAGAGAGAATATGGCCCTTGAGAATAACATTGAGATTTTTAAGAAAAGTGAAGAGCAGCTGAGAGAAGAAAATTCCAGCCTGAAAGAATTAGTGAATAATATCGAAATTGAAAGAATCCATTTCAGAGCGACTTGTGAGTTATTGCAGAGAGAACTCAGTTTTGTTAAGAAAGAAAATGCTTCTTATCTTGCTAGTGAGAATAGGATTCTGAATTTTGCAAAACCAAAGAATGATGTTCATAATTATCCAAGCCAGATACCTGAGGTGAGTCCAGCATCGAGAAGTCCTTTAAGTAGCTTTCAACACCTTTTAAAGAATAACGAAATGGGAAGTGGGCCTCCATCCCGTTCAGAGCCTAATTTTGGTGGATCTTTTCAACCTCCTGCTCAAGAGAATATGCCAACAATGCTGGGAGGAATGAATTTTGACCATGCTCAGCAAGCACCAAGCCCTGCTAATAATATTCCAAGTAACATGGGAGGCCAAATGCCAGCTGGGTCACCTTCAGTAAGCCATTCTAAAAGCTGTCTAATATTGCCTAGAAGCGTAAACTTCCAATGCATCTTGCGTCGAGCATAACATTCGCTGCTGATGAAGGGTCAGATCAATATTATCGGAAGAACCAGGCTCCTAGCCCAAGTATGGGGCAAGGATTTAATTCTCCACAGAACAGTGTAGCAGGAATCCCATCGATCCCAAATCTGCCTATTGCAGGAATGCCAACTCCTAAGGATCCGAGACCTGGTGGGAACCCTGGGCAATTCCCACAGGGGGTCCAAGGACCTCCTCATCTTGGCACAGGGATGATTCCTGGGTCACAAGGGCCGCCTATACAGTTGAATAGCCAGCAGAAATTTCAGCAAATCCAAATTTTAGAAAACTCTTTGCTATCCTTCCAGATGGACAAGGACAGACTCACAGCAGAGTTGAACAAGATCCCAGAGTCTCATAGCAAGAGCCATCACCAGCAACAAAGAAAGGCGGAGCTGGAAAGGGAACTGTACATTGCAGGTACTTTACTCCGATAACTTTATAGACAAAAATATCAACACAGTTAAACTCAAGCTGAGAGATATTAAGAGATAAATATTTGCGATCAATTCTTCCGAAGGATGCCTATGAAGGATGCATCCTTTTTGCCTTTAAGGGTTTGATGAAAATTTTGAAGCATATTTTAGAGTAGAATTTAATGCTTGATAGGGCTTAAAGATATGGGCTTAGAGACCACTGATTTATCAATACAGAACTGCACAATAGTTCTTGGGCTATAGCTTAAGGGATAGATCTGAGCGAGATAGAAGAATCTGAGGTGGTTTGGGTAATATTCATTGTATAATTGTTTTATAAAATCCAATAGCCCATTTTAATATTCCAATATTTCTAGCACAAGGAGGGGTTTTGGGGTTTTGGGGTTTTGGGGTTTTGGGG